TACCTAATACATGATAGCCTGAATCCACCATGTATTATGTATTCCCTATATTTATGCTGATGTAACTCCCGTGGTGTAAATCTCAGTTGGGAATTGCAACAGATTAAGGCGGCAGCATAGGCCTCTGCTATTGTATGCCAAATCACGTGACTTGTGCAAAACAAAAGGCTTACAACCAACTTCTTTACTTGCAACAATTCACAGCTAAGATTTATGCTGACAGAGTTCTATGAATGGGCATACCTAATAGGACTCTGGCCCATAGTTTAAATGAAGAATATTGTAGCACTGATTCATTGGTACTGTACTTATAATTCAGGGATACTACCCCAATGCTCCTAGACCAGTTATGACTAAATATGCCTCTCATCCTTCATGTCAAACAGGTGGCCAAGGCTGAACTTATTTCTGGGTGCTCAGTACAGGCTTTCCTCTGTCTTCAATCCTTTTTATGAGAACACATATAATGTACATCATTCTTTTTATGCACACAAATGGTTTAAAACTTATGAAACATGCCATGAACATTATGTCAATTGGCAAGGAAGCTATTTTTTAATACTTTAAATCTGTAACAGATATTTTATTGCCAGTTTCTGAAACTTAAGTATACAGGAAGGCAGGTCTTCCAAAAGTCTATTGATCTATAATAGTGTTCATATTCAAGTATGAAAAACAAGATCTCAACCTGAAATCTTAAAAACCTTCCAAGTGAAATAGATGGTTAGCACAACATATTTGTGCTACTACTTACTAATGGTTGTAATATCAACAATTACCTTGCTTTTGTGGGAAAATTTTGACTTAGATCTTTCATGACCATCAGAGTGTCCATAGTGGGAGCAGCAAGAATCCGGGCAGCAGTTTGAAAACTTAGATCTAAAAATGAAAACATTTCATTCAATTATCATAGCATCCATAACACCAAACACACTTGGGCAATATTTACTTAGGTTTTTCCACTGATGGAATTGCTTCAGTTAGTACTACTGGGAGTAAGTCCTCCAAGTCTGTTTTAGATGGGTGTCTGGAGACTTTCCAGTGCAGATTTTCAAGTTCTCCAGCGCATAAAAGCACTGTCAGGTGAGCAATCTTCTTCCCTTTAAACTTAGCTGTCCAGGTACTGATCAGCATAGCCTCTTAATGTTTTTAAGCGTATAAACATTCTTCCATGCATTTTGATGAAGACATTAATGTGACCTGTTGAACCCATGTTTGAAGGGATGTGATGCATCAGTACTACACATCAACCATTTTATGTAATTCCAACAACCATATTTCTAAGAGGTTATGCAACAAACACAAAAACACTCACTAGTTGGAAATCAAACAGAATGACCTGAATTGTAGAATGTGATCTTGTGCTCTTCCCATCCTTGTTTTCAAAAGCAAGCCTTTGTATAGATGGGAAATTTCTTAAGACTAGTATGCAGATGTACTGTATCTCAGAATGCACACCTTGTATTACTTCTAAACACATTTATGGATACATCTCCTAACACAGTAGTTTGAAGTCATGGAATCTGTTTATAGTATATTTGTAATAAAACTCAAAAACTCTTCAACAGCTTCTAAAAAGTACATTTTGACAATATTTTCCAAATTTGCACAACACAAATACAACTATGTCTACACATATGCAACCACACAAGATAAAGAAATAAAATGCAGATACCCTGTAATTGCCACACTTTTAAGGGCGCCATTTCATTTGTGCTTTCAACAAGATGTTTTCTTAGTTCTTTTAATTCTTCTTTCAAAGTGGGATGCAACTGGCTGGGAAAAAACCAAAATGCATTTTTAATAATTAGCATTAGATACAAATATTAACTACCCATGAAATGTGGATTTAGATTTTTTTATTGGACATCTCACAAGTTTTAGTGTGAAAAAACAATTGAAGTTCTTTTTACGTTTTCTTGTCATTTTTAGAATAGGCTAGGCAAGATAGCAAGAAAAATAAAGAGGCTTATCAAAATGATAATGTGTACCTCAGTTTTCCAAATAGAAATCCTTGCACTTCATCAATAGGGTCATTTTCACCTATTACTGTTGCATTCATATCTGTACCTAGAAAAACATGAAAACCACTCTGGTTAGGACACTATTCAGGAAACCACCAGCAATAAAGAGATTACTTTTAAGGCTTCAGTACATTTTATTAATACATTGCACATTCACACAAACTAGAGCA